ATAGGGAAGGGTGGAGGGGGTGAAGGGAGGGCTAGGAATGGGGAAAAAATAAGAACCAAGATGCATCATGTAAAGGTACAGTTCCCAATGAGAAATGTAATTGTGTTGTATACCAGAAATGTACCAATAAAAGAATCTAAGGAAAAAAAAGTCTATAAGCAGAGTAAAGCATATCCTAGTAACTTTTCTGCAATACAAGTTATCTCCTATACTCTCATGCTCCAGTTTCCTCTAAAGTAAGAGTTTATGTGCTTTAAAGCAAGTAGATCATTAAATAATGCAGAAATCACAATCAATTACAAACTTCTAGGACTTTTAATTCATTAATTAGATAAAATTGAGAAAATTGTAATTATAAATATTATTCTAAAATGTGAATTGATGACCTAAGTTTTTTATTACATATGAACATGTTTTATATAGATTTTTATAGGTGGGTTTTTTAACCCATTTCCAACTTCATTTTAGACATCAAGGAGGCCACAATAGTAATAAAGTCAGATTCACACTATGATCTTAAACATTTGAAAAAACACAATAGGAACTTTTCTATATACAATTATATAATATTGATCCTTCTTGATGTCTGCAAAGTTGACTTAATGAGTAAGAAGAAAACTGTTTATCTTTTAAGTGACATAAAGGCTTTGCAGAATACGTACATTTATTACTGACAACGTGGCTATATTTTACATTATCCTTTAGCTGCTTGTTATAAATCATTAAGCATATTTTACAGTCACATTTAATATACATGCAATTCGTTTTATCAAAACATTTTATGCATATTTCTAACCTGTTAGTTTTGAAGATTAAAGAAAGATTAAGACTTGGACTTGGCATATCTGAATTTCTGTGGTAGTCCTTAAAGGCTTGTGAGAAACAGGGTTTTCACAGAGTTGAACTCCTCAGCTAAGACAAAGTATAAAAGCCAAGATATACACAAAAAGACAAAGCTAATAAAATCCACAGAATGATCCTGCACATCTGTTTGACCATTTACCTGGAGGAAATAACATGAAGAAAACCTAAACACAAATAACCCCCTATCTTTTTCCTATATTATTATCTAGTATTTGAACTACATAGAGATGGAAGTCAATAAATGTAGCAAGTACCTGAAAAATACAAGTTCCTTTGAAAGAAGAGATAAGATGAGAATTACCAGGTACTCCAATTCCATGTAAATTGAGAAAATATTGGCATATGTATGATGTACAAATGATCTTTTAGGTATCCATTTTCTTTGTAAAACATTATTTACAAGTCAATTTATCAGTTTAACTTCATATCTCTTGAATGTGTCCTATTACAGTTGGATGATAGCTTCTCATTAAAAAAACAAGTGTATGCTGGAAGAAGTTTGTACCAGGTCATGGGAGCCAATCGTGTATGGACTTTCACAATCTGCTGTTCATGCTGGCACTCAAAATCAAGTGTGCTAAGAGGAATTATACCACACAAATAAGGTTACTACCGATCAGGGCTCCTCCCTGTACCCCACTGGTTTACTGCTACCAATGGTTTACTATTAACTATGCATATGTATAGAAAGAAAATGAGAAATTTGCCAGGTGTAAAAATCGAACATTCCAATAAGAGAAGCATCTAAGAAACCTGTATTTTTTCTAGAGCATATTATAGAAGATGAATGTGTTTCTAAAGAAGTCAGTATGATTTATTAAAATATTATCAAGGTATGTTCATCAGTCAAAAGAAACAGACAAGAATATCTATTGGCTATTGAAACCCCATGAAGACCCAATAATTAAAATAGCATGGTACGGGAATAAGGATAAAAAAGTAGCTGAAACAACATATATTAAAAAAAGATCTATTTTATGATATACAAATAGATACACAATACCATCACTCTTATTTTGTACTGGGGATCGAACTCAGGACCTTGCACTTGCGAGGCAGGAGGGGCACAACTGCGCTTAGTCACCAGCCTGAAATTTCTCCTTTCAAACTTCCAGCTCCAAGAAGTTGAAAGGTCTGCTGTTCTCCCTCTAATAACCCAAACAAGCTAGAGAAGAATTTAAAAAAAGAAAGATTTTAAAAACATGTTTCCTCAGATTGCTCAGGATGCAAAGAAATCTAAGTGGACTAAATTCCAGAAAATGATAAACCTTCCCTAGAAAAGATAATAGAGGCCTTTATTCCTGCAGAGTGGGTGGAGAAAGCAGCTAAAATTTCATCTGCTGCATGTGGGTTGTGTAAGATTGGAATTCCCAGGTACTCCAACACAGAATGACAACAGTAACAACTATCTTCGAGTATCCATGCTAAGCTCTTTCAAGTAATATTTAATTATCACACTAACCTTACAAGTGTATTACTACTACTAACATCACAAAATTTTGATTCCTGTTTTACAAGTAGAGTAACAGATGGAGAGGTCATCTGCCCAAAGACCTAATGGGCATGGCAGAGCTAGGATTTATGCACACTGTGAATTCATAGCTGTCAGTGGATGCTGCTTTCCAGTAGAGTCCAAATTTATTCATCCATACAGCCTGATAACATCAACTACTGACTGAAGGAGCCCAAATTATCAAGTACTTTTTCAACTCCTCAAACAAGTAAATTCAATCTATATAGTTGGAAATGTAAAAACACTGACAAAATTAGGAAAACATATCCATTTTTGTAGAAACAGAAGCTTTTTAAGGATGCAGGTGCTAAGATTCTCTGCTCCAAAATTCTGATTCTTAAAATATTGCCTATTTGTCATAAATTTAACATCTCTCAGCTCAAGTAAAATCCAAAAATTAATGCTAATTTAAAGGCTATCAATGATATATACAATTCTTTTCCTCATTGTAGAGTCCCATGCTTGGTATGCATAGGTATAAACTATACTTTCAATTATTTGCCAATGTTTGTGGCACACATCTGTAGACCAACTCCTAGTCACATAAAACGACTAGATGTTCTAGGAAAATTTGGACAGCTAGGATTTTTATAAATTGCTTGTTACTTGTTGCACCATTTAAAATATAGAATAGTGCCCCACCCACCACCCAAACGTTGTTGGAATAAAGATTATAATGTGAATATTGCCTATTCAATTATTACAACTCCAAAACTTACAGCAATACTTTATGGAATTAGTGATAGGCTTGTAAATGACTACATAGGATTAGAATTTTTTCACATTTGATATTTCCTCAAAATTTTATTTGTGGGGATACTTTTTCCTAAGTTTCCCCAAACAGAAGAGCACTGGCAAGAGCCACAGAGTGCAACAGGCCATTACTTCCAGAGTAGCTAGGTCCCTGACTGATAGGACCTCAGCACAGTGCCATGGAGTGACACTGAAATATCAGGTTTTAGCCAATTCTTTAAAAAAAACAACCAAAGAAAGATTGAACCATGCAGTGACAAGAATCTTTTACATCACCCAAAACTCCTTTGCCAGAAATCTCCTACCTCCTTGATGATAACATCCAACTTTATTTAAATAGTGTTAGTATTTTATATTCTCATGGAATAGACAAATTTTAATATTAAAAGTCCACCATTCTTTTGCCATTACTGGTTTTCCTGAGACTGAGCTCCTCTAGTTCCACTGATAATTATTTTACATTTTCATCTTTCTTTTCTTTGGTCATGTTTCTTCCATTTTTAATTTTTTTTTTCCGGTACCAGGGATTGAACTCAGGACCTTGTGCTTGCCAGGCAGGTGCAGCATCACTGAGCTACATCCCTGCCCCCATCTTCCATTTTTTGTAACTTATTGTCAGTGACTTCTGAGTATTCCTGAGCTCTGTTGTCACATAATTGACAGAGAAAGAGAAGCTCAGCCAGTCCCAGCACCCGGAAGGAAGCTCCCCACCTCCATCCCAGGCTCCTAGGGCAGAGAAGGTGAGCCGGTCCCAGCACCGGGAAGGAAGCTTCCCTGCTGCCATCCCAGGCTCCTAGGGCAGAGAAGCTCAGCTGGTCCCAGCACCTGGAAGGAAGCTCCCTGGCCTCCATCCTAGGCTCCTAGGGCAGAGAAGCTCAGTGGGTCCCAGCACCTGGAAGGAAGCTCCACCGCTGCCATCCCAGGTTCCTAGGGCAGAGAAGGTGAGCCGCGTGGGCACCAGAAGCACACCC